AGTTTAGTTTTATTAGGATCCCCATTAGCTGCCAATTAATGGCCACTAATCTTCCTGGGGTCCTCACATAAAGAAATTACATTCCATTATGAACAAACAATTAAAAAACATTGCACAAGTTGCACATTAGGAAATAATAGGAACATGAAAAACAGCAGAAATATACAACATATATACACAGGTCAGTTCATCATATTATCTGCAGTAGTTCTGAAGAGACTATCTTTCTGAAGCTTGTTCTGTTCTGGACTCTTTGTGTGGTTATTGGCAGTTGGTTCCAGGTTCTGACCTGAGTTAGGGGTAGCAAATTAATATTTTCCCTCGTCTGCAGGCTTCAGTAGTAGTATGTAATGCTGCTCTTGAATTGATTTTTTAACTTCCATCATATTATGTCCATACTTTGCTGAAGCGGACAGTGAACGAAGCAGGTTTTGGGTTTGGTAACATTGTGGGGCAGCAGGCGGGTAGGATATAGAAGTTCCTCCTGCAACCGAAGTGTTCTGATTGAACCTCAGTCCTGTTTGCCTCAGCTGTGTTTTCGGGCAAGACTCCTCACCCATCAGTGTTTCAGGGGTGAATTAATTACTGAATGTTAGTATGAATCCCTTTGGTGTTCCCTATATTATATAGGGAACACCAATACTATATGGGCAATATATAAGGTCATTTAAGTAGTTTAAGTAGTTCTTCAGGTCTCTGTTTGACATGATAACAAAATATTTTTTAAAAAAAAAGCATAATTTCTGCAAAAGTCAAGTAATTTTACAACAAGGCAGGGGTTTTATGAGAGGTTCTAACTGAGAGTTAAATGTGATTCAAAGTTCCTGTTTAGACCTGGCAGATCTATGCATATTTAAGCTAGGTTTAGCCTGTTTTACTTATTTTCTTTTACAATGGTAACAATATCGTAAATTTGGAGGAAATAGTGTACTTACAGAGGACAAGTCTTACAGGTGCTTCCTTCATTGTCGCTCTCAGTGTTTGGACTTTTTCTTAGTTATTGTCATAGACACAAAATAAAACCCGCCCTCTTCCTGTGAGTGGCTGACGCATTTAGAGACTGCAGAAGTCCATTAATAACCAGGAAATTCAGGGGTGACTAAAGCTGACAAAGATATATCTTTGCATAAATTAGCTCAACTTTGGAAATATTAAACATAAAATACTTAATCAGCCTAATCTGGCTGAAAGTTGTTTTCAAATGACAAACAAGCAATAAAAAAACATAGTTGTTATTTTGAAATGCACAAGTGGCACCAACAATGGTGATTGCAAAAAAAAAAGCTAAAAGGTATGCAAAAAATTATAAATGAATGCATTTGCTTCTTTTTTTGTGTTCCCCAAAATAGACTTTTTTTTTATTTCACTTCATTTGGGTGGGATTAAACTGATCTGAGATCAACATCTTGGTGTTATCCCATATCAATGAGGTTTCTAGAATTTCCTTCTTTCATCTATGAAATATTGAAATATCCTGTCCAGGGTTGATACTGAGAAACTAGTCCATGCATTTCTTACTTCAAGGCTGGACTATTGTAATTCTTTACCATCAGGAAGTCCACAAAATGCATTATCGGTCATGTCATTATTAGTCCACCACATGGTGTTGTATCCTATCAGACTTTTTTAGTGGTGAATGTAAAGGGCTCATTGTTAACCTGACTCCGCCAGATGGATTTGCTTCGCATATCTCTCTCTCTCTCTCTCTCTCTCTCTCTCTCTCTC